AGGCTGGCCTCGAACTCACAGAGATCCGCCTGCCTCTGCCTCCCGAGTGCTGGGATTAAAGGCGTGCGCCACCAACGCCCGGCAGGTTTCCTTGTTTTTATGAATAACCAGAGGTCATAAAGTATAGGTTACTATACATTACCAAGATACTTGGAGTTGTATTGTGAAGTTGCTATAGAATCAAGATCTTATACTCCCACCAATCTTTATTTTAACCAAGTCGAACCCAGTGATGGCCATCCAGACTTGTTTTTAAAAGCCATATCAATTATTTTGTGCTTCATTTAGTGTTGCAGAAATAGATGGTGGTGGTATCAACTTCAGTAAACATCAAAGAGATGGTGAAGGCCTGACATATGAAGAGTTAAGTTAAACTATGAAATACTTCTGTTCTTACATTTTTTAAAGTGAGGGTAGGAGTGAAATGAGTATGCCACAGTCTAGGTGTGGAATGAAGGTCAGAGGACAACTTGGGGGAGTCAGCTCTTTCCTTTTACCATATGCAGTCTAGAGACTAAATTTGGGTCCTCAGTTTGGCAGCAAGCTCCTTTACCCACTGAACCATCTTGTCCCTATGAAGTATTTTTAAATAGTTTGCTACTTTATTTCATCTAAAGTCAATGAATATTCAGGGCTGTTTTTCCATCAGGTTTTTCTGTTTTTAGGACTTAAAATATATTTTTTATTACTTTCTGTAAGCATGCAAAATAATGAGTTCCTTTTTGATATTCTCTTGCCTGCACCGTATTCAACTCATATCTTTCCATATCACCTTTCCTTGGCTCCCTTCTCCACACTTGTTTCCTTTCATATTCCCAAGCAGTCCCATATCCAGAGTCCACATATAGAATATAGCATAAAATATTTGGCTTTATTTTCATTCTTCTTTTCCTCTTCCATTAGTCCATCCTCCTTTCACACAGCCTCCCTTCTACTTTCATATCTAACAATCTAGGAAATCTTGATTAAATCTTAAATCTAGATTCCTCACATGAGGAAAAGCATGCAATATTTACCTTGTGGTCCTGGCTTATTTCATTTAGCATGATTAAAACCAGTAGCGTTTTTTGTTTGTTTGTTTGTTTGTTTGTTTTCCTTGCAGAGATCAGAGAAGTTGATGATGACAGGCAGGTGGTCGCAGAGATCATGGCAAGAAGTTTTATTCCGACTCTGATAACAACTATTTCTTGGGAAGGCTTTCACTTTGCTGGTCATGAAATTCGGATTACTGAAGCCAAAGATTGTTACGGTGCTGTTGTCTGGCCATCGGTATAATTTATTAAAAATTTGCTGCACCCAATTACTCTCCAGTTTTATTCATTGTTATATTCTACTTGGATGAAGGCAACAGCTTACACGATTCTATTTTGTGATTTCAGACAACACTCAAGTTAGACATTATGCAATGGGAAATTGTTTTCAACAATTAAATTTGTTTCTGACTTTATTGACATTTGTGCCTAAATAAAGATGTGAATGCCTTCAATTTTTATGACTATGAGAGTTGAAAAGAGTAAATGTTTTCACTCCCCATTTTATTGACTCTGAATTAAGCAAGCATAAAGGATGTCTATTTGAAACCCACAAGCAGGATACTCAAAGGCCCCACTCCTTTACCCGTTATTTCAGGGAGGGTGGCAGACCACCACTACTCCCCACCCCAACTTCACACTTTACTTGGAATCATCTGGTATTGTTAGAAGTTTGAATAAGGTAAAATTTAAACAACTACACTCTGTATTGTCGCTCATTTCTGTCTTTCTTTTCAACAAGGACTTTCTCTAGCTAGCCAAAATGTTAAACCTATGAGAGGATGTACTTCTATCATAATTTTTCTGGAATTATGTATATGAACACCCCCATTTACAGATGTGCACATGTACAGATCATAATATCTATGGCATATTTACCTTATAGGGTTTGATTTTAACTATTAATACTTTAAACACCCTTTCCTCTCAATTTCCATAGGCCCTTGTTCTATGCTATTTCCTGGAAACACATGCCAAGCAATATAACATGGTTGATAAAAATGTGATTGAAATTGGAGCTGGGACAGGGCTTGTCTCCATTGTGGCAAGTTTACTTGGTAAGGAAGTATTTTTTTTATTGAATTATGTAGTTGGTCAGGAAACTAATGACCAAATATCATTAGTTATTTTTGCTTTCCAGTGTATTATGACCTGGGCTTATATGTAACTCCTTAATTATTTTTTAAGATTTATTTATTTACTTTATTTATCTGAGTGTTCTATCTGCATGTACGACTTTATGCTAGAAGAGGGCATCAGATCCCACCATCTATGGTTGTGAGCCACCATGTAGTTGTTGGGAATTAATCTTAGGTCCTCTGTAAGAGCAGTTAAGGTGTTCTTAATTGCTGAGCCATCTCACAGCCCCTCCTTAATTGTTTAAAACAGACTTCATCAAGGAATTCTACCAATAATAATATTGCTTTGCTGGTTTCTTTCCAAAATTTTCCATTTAAGTAGTTTTAAATCTTCCTGTGGAATGAGAGCTTACAAGCCTAGGTAGGAGGTGAAATTATTCATCTTGTTAGATTCCTTTGGGGGTTTTGGAGTCCTATACTTTTGTGAACATGCATCTGTTAAAATAGGGAAGGGGTATTAGAAGTGACATGAAACTCACACCTTAACTTTGATTTTTAGGGGTTTGTCCCTGGATTTGCTTTTTCATTTCCATTCTCATTTGGTCCTACATATAAGGCTCAGAATTCTTTCTTTCTGTTCTGCCCCTTGATGATCATGTTTATTCTTGGGTTGGAGAAAAATAAAAGTGCAAATCAACTTTTTTTCAGGGTTGGAAGAATCAGGTTATTTCTTAATACCATGATGCAGGCCCCTTCCTTCAGATGTCTTATAGTACAATCTTCTATTTTCTGCATGGGATAAATCCTGTGCTTCAGCCAACTCTTGATGGAAGGATGGCTAATAGAATACCATATCTTCAGACAAAGAGTATTGGAATATTCCACTTTGTTCACTTATGCATCTTTTCATGTGTCTTTGTATGGACTTCTGTAGTAGCCACAGTTCTTTATATGCCATCTGGTATTGTATTCCAATGGTATTTATTAATGGGTGATCTGCCTGTAAGTCCTGGGTCATTTCTCTACCTAGACTTGCTTATCTTGATTACAGTGGTGAAATCCAGGAGCTTCTTTGTGGTACTTGTCCTCCTGTTACTATGATAGGACCAAAAACAACGTGGTGAGGAAAGGGTTTATTTCATCTACAACTCTCAGGTCACATTTTATCATTAAGGGAAATAAAGGCAGGAACTCCAGGCAGGAAACTGGAGTCAGAAACTGATACAGAGGCCATGGAGGAGTGCTGCTTATTGGCTTGGTTGTCATGGTTTGCTCAGCCTGCTTTCTTATATAACTAAGGACCACTTGCTCTATCTGCAGTGAGCTGGGCCCTCCTATATCAATCATTAGTCAAGAAAATGCCCCTACAGACTTGGCCACAGAATAGTTTGAAGGAAACATCTGTGTTAAGTTGACAGAAAGCTAGCCAGTATGGTATTGGTAGTTTGTTGCTAATCTATGTTATTCACCAAATTCAAAACATGCAGACACTTAGGACTCTTTTTGGAAAGTTTAGTCTTCATTATTGATCTTGGATCATTGCAATGAGGTGTTTTTTTTTCCTTGTGGTCATTTTTTCTCCTAAATAGAGAACAACAATGATGAATTAGACAAAAACCCAGGAGGTCAGCAGGATATAGAAATACCACAAGATTCTGTTTTGTTCTTTTTTAAAAGGAGGGGGAAGAAAAGTATATTAGTGTCCATTCTGAAAATCACTGTGTTGCCTAGTCTTTTCTTTGGGTCTAGCAGTTGTGAAGAATCTGAGTGCATGTTGGTTGAAACCTGACTGATCTTATTATAAGAGCTTTTCCTACCATTCTTTTTTCATAGGTGCTCGAGTGACTGCTACAGATTTGCCTGAATTACTTGGAAACCTGCAATATAATATTTCCAAAAACACCAAAATGAAATGCAAGCATTTGCCCCAGGTTAAAGAGCTCTGCTGGGGAGTAGCATTAGACAGGAACTTCCCCAGGTCTTCCAATAACTTCGACTACATCCTGGCAGCAGATGTTGTCTATGCCCATCCTTTCCTGGAGGAGCTTCTCATGACCTTTGACCATCTCTGCAGAGAAACTACCATCATCCTCTGGGCCATGAGATTCAGGCTGGAGAAAGAAAATAAATTTGTAGATAGATTTAAGGAACTGTTTGATCTGGAGGAAATTTCTAGTTTCCCTAGCCTGAATATTAAGTTGTACAAAGCTATGAAGAAAAATCGGAGGAGTGCATAGTGCATATTGTCTGTGAATTAGGACATGGGCATGCCAAGGTAGTTTCTAGTAGATCATTACTTTAAAGAACACACACACACACACACACACACACACACACACACATGCACATACACCACTGTAAGAATAAAAATTAACTCTAAACTTGTCTTATTTTAAGCAAGAATTTTTACACACACAGTAGGTGCATTTGTAAGATTAGGATAATTTGTTCCCAAGTCTGTCTGCTCGGTACTCTAATTACATGGTAACAAACTTTCTGTAACACCATGCTGTGTCATCAGAGCAAAATGGTAATTTTCAATAATGATATCTCTAACTGAATGTTATTAATTTAATTTCTTTTTGAGAATGTATTTTAGATTGGCCTTGAACTTGAGGTGGTCTTACCTCAACATCCCGAGTGCTAGCACTCTAGGTGTGTAACCACCACATCCATCCATATTGTTAATACTTTAAAATATAGGCTTAAAAGGTTTTATCTTTAGAGATCAAGAAACTGGCTATAGTAAATTTGAAAAATAAATTTAAAAAGGCAAATATATGATGTAATGGTCAGTGCTAGGTGTCTGTGGTTCCCACCAATGCCAGTTTAGAGGGTGGCTGTCATTTCTGCTTGGCAGTTTGGACCTCTAGCATAACTACTGAATCAACCAAGCATGTGGAACATTTCCCTCTGTTTATATGAGTGGAAAGAGCATAAGAATACCTGAGATTCTGAGGAATCTGAATGCAGACATCCACGGCTGGGCCCCTGGTGGAGCACTGGGAGTCTAATTAGTGAGAAAGAAGAGGGTTTATATGAGCGAGAATTGTTGAAGCCAAGGTTGGATAAAGCACCCGGACAAATAAATGAATGGAAGCACAGGATCTATGAACCAAAGGCTGAGGGGCCCCCAACTGGATCAGGCCCCCTGAATGCGTGAGACAGTCATTTGGCTTGATCTGTTTGGGAGGCAGCTGTGCATTGGTGCCGGGTCCTGGGCTCGTTGCATGAGTTGGCTATTTGAATCCTGGGACTTATGCAGGGACACTTGGCTCGGTCTGGGAGGGGGGGAATGGACCTGCCTGGACTGAGTCTACCAGGTCGACCCCGGTCCGCGGGGGAGACCTTGATCTGGAGGAGGTGGGAACGGGGGGTGGGCTGGGGGGAGGGGGGGCGAGAGGGGGAGAACAGGGGAATCTGTGGCTATTATGTTGAACTGAATGGTGTTGTAAAATAATAATAAAAAAAATCCAATCGAAAAAAAAAGAATACCTGAGATTAGTACTTGTTTTTGTAAGCAAAGTAAAATTCATTTTTTTTCACAGAAATGGAAATAATTATAAGAACATTGGGTTAGAAGTACATAAAAAGATTTAGCTTCCTTATCTCAAATAAGTAGACATGGTTTAACAGATATACCTAGATATTTGAAGTTGTTAGGGTCCTGGAGAAGTCCTACAAAAGACCATCATCCATGTATGCCATCAGCAAGAGTGTTTATTATCTTGAGAAAGATTCCAGTATACTGGGGATGACCATCCCACACAAAGGCAAAATGGCGCAGACCCTGAGAAAAGCTCAAGGCTCCTTTTAAGCATAGCTAAGGGGAGATCCTAGGGCAGTTAGGTCACTTTAGCTATGATTGGCTTAAGCAAGTGGCAATCATTTTAGTACGTTCTAATTGGCTAGGGCTGATGGGTGGTCAGGTTTACAACCATTCTGTTTTTTGAGCAGGCCTGGACAAGTCCCAGGCTTTGTCCTTATTTGATTATCACCTTGAGCTTGCTGACTGTGGCTCAGGCCTGGCCTGACCTGGTATTCCATGTACCAGGCAGGCCTCCTCCTCCTGTTCTTGGGGGGTAAGGGGGAAGTGTTGGAGATTGTTTGTACTTGTTTGTGGCTCTTTCAGTAACTCCTTGTTCAGTCTCAGGAAACTGAAATTGAGGCCTGATATCTGAGAGAAGACTGAGCAACCTATTATGGTGTCTACTTGGTCCTCTCAAAATCATCTCAGATTTTTTTCATGTGGCCCTTAGAAATTAGAATAAGGTTTAAAGTAATTAAAGTCAGTGTGAAAAGAGTAAAGAATTAGGCCTTTATGCCATGTGACTGCCTGAACTGTGTTGCTGGCAACACACTGCAGTGTCCTCAGCTAGACTGTTATGTGCCTTTGGTGATACTTGCTCCTCCGGGGTTAGCACTTTCTGAACATTGTCATGGTCCAACACATCTGCAATTATCTCCTGGACCCTGCACTGTAAGTTAGAATGTAGGCACACTTCAGTATAACTCTTGGTGCATGGGTTTTTATAAGGATCATACCTCATCAGTTTTCTATTTGCATGGCTATTTGTCCTCATGTTGATTTAGTGTTCAGCGTGCACAGGACAGTGATATCATTTTTTTCTCTTCACAGATAAGAACAAAGGCCCAGGTTACACATCTGTGGGGTTAAATATAGAGACAGTCAAACCCAGGTCTGTTTGAGCACAGAATCTGCATTTATAATTCCAGTACTGTCTTTAAGCACTGAAAAAAGTAACTTTCAAACACTTTAAACAACTGAGGTGAGTTCTTCAAAAGGAATAGATACTCAGAAAGAATAACAAATACATTTAAAAATGAGACCTATTCCTCTTAACACTGTCCCTAGACTTTCTACCCATGGGAGGAGACATCACAGAAGGCTGTGGTGGAAGGTACACCTGTGGTGGGTGTGGTAAAGGAGCAGACAGAGACTGGTGAGGTCTGAAGTAAGAGAAACACCAGCAAGTAGATTATGGAGGTCCTGTGCCATGGCCTAGGATCTCCAAATACAGGTTCGGGGAGTAAATACCACACGTAGTCCTTAGTTAGGTTGTACAGCCATTGGTTAAGTTGTGCAGCCATTGGTTACACTGTGTGGTCATTGGTTAAGCTGTATGGTTGCGATGGAGAACTGAAGAAGAGAATAAAGGCCAGTCTAGCTGATCCATTCAGTACTAGACTTTGGCCTGTTTCAGGGTATTTCTGATTTGAGTAAGGCATTTGGGTCTTTATATGTTCCTGTATCTGTCCTGGGAAGACTGTTTTGAGGATGGTGGTGGCTGTGATCTGTCTGCCTGCAGCATTTACAGTTAGCTGGTGAAAAAGTTATTCCGAACTCATCTGAGCAGTTCGTTACTGTGTCCACCACATCATTTCAGGCTCCTCAAAGAATTCTAGCTTTTTTTTTTGTCTGCTGAAATAGAGAGCCACTGGATGATTCTAAGTAAAGGAATGGAATACCGTTATAACCTGTAAAGACTTCTTGGCCTGGTGTTCTGAGAATGGGATCTCAAAGTCAAGGAACCAACTGGGAGCTGTGGCAGCCATCCAAGCAAAGGACAGCAAGAAGTCTACATGGGGGAGGTGAGATCAGCTGTTCTAGCTGTACTCTGAAGCCAGAGGCAGCAGAGTGTTCTACCAAGTGGGGTGTGGAATGTGAGCAAGAAAGCCAGGGCTGACTCTGAAATATCCTTGTGAGCTCTAGAATATGAACTTAGCTTTTGGTTCAGAGAAGGCTTATGAAGCCCTTTTACAGAGCAAAAGAGAATAAAAGGACTGAGCCCGGAGATTTACCAGCATTAGGGATCAGACAGACATTTTCAGAATTTTTTGGAGGCTATGTGCCTTCCCCCAGTTGTAGCTAAATATGTGGATCCTGAAAAATATGAGTTTAATGGCACAGCCTTCTAGAACCTGTCACTGGACTTGCTAAATTTCTAAAAGTTGCCTCAGAGGAATCTAAATGGCTGAATATCATAGGTCTGGCAGCAAAGAACTTGGTATAATAAGTTGCGGGGGGGGGGGGGGCACGATCCACCTTGACTCTTGTTAAAAAAGTGTTTGAATATCATTGTGAAGTAATTTTGAAGTAGGGAAGATAAAGTGTCCTCTCAAAGACTGTTGGGACCAAACCAACCATTTGGCTCCTTAAAGTTATTCGTTTTCAAACACATCCAAACCCATTATCTTACTCTGTTTATAGGTTTTACTTGAGAATTCTAACATCACCCTCTCTCATCGTGCCTCTGTCCTTCTACTTCACTCTGTGTTTTGTCTGGTCTTCTTCCTGTTTTGTTTTTGTTTTTTCCTGCAACCTCTCCATGTTTTTACAGTAATTCAGTTTCAAAAGATGTAATTTGTAGAGCCTTTTCTGTCTCACAATTCTCCTTTTAAAAAATTGTTGATTTTCAATCTGAACAACTCCTGTTGTGAAGTTTGAGACAAGTGAGATTATGTTTTTAATGATGTAATTTTTTTCAGTAACTCTTTGAATTTCTAATTGATTGGAGTGCTACCTATCAAGGTTTTAATTCAGATGGTTGCAGAATAATTATTGCTTCAGAGATGACAATCTGACCTGTAAGTAATGTTCTTTGACAGCTTAAAATGACACATTGGCAATCATGAAAGTGGCTTCCCAGACAAGTTTTAATATAAAATCCTGTCTTAGAATTCAATGATACATATTCTTTGTACCATTTTTTAAAAATCAGAACAAGGTAGGGTAAAAGTATATTTTGCTACTAGTAAATTATTAATGTGTTTCAACCAAAGATTCCCTTAGTATTTTAGTGACTAATAGGCAGTTAATTTAAGAATTAGGATTGCCGGGCGGTGGTGGCGCATGCCTTTAATTCCAGTACTCGGGAGGCAAAGGCAGGTGGATCTCTGTGAGTTTGAGGTCAGCCTGGTCTACAGAGCGAGACCCAGGAAAGGTGCAAAGCTACACAGAGAAACCCTGTCTTGGAAAAACCAAAAAAAAAAAAAAAAAAAAAAAAAAAGAATTAGGATTTCAAACATGATTTTACAGCTATACATTGGAAAGAAGAGTTGAGGAAAAATTCCATACAGCATCTTTGGGATGAAGAGGCAAAGACTAAGAACTTTTGGGAACAGGCTTCATTATTTAAAATAAGTAATTCAAGGAGACTTAAGGGTGATTACAAGAATGCCAAATAATAAATGTAGCTATCCCCCACTTTTTTTGGAGTTTGGTTTTTAATCCTTAGAAAGCTGTCTCATGACTGTTATTCATTCATTCACACGTCTATTTACTACTAATTCACTACTTACTAAAAACTCACACTATGC